GTGGGGTTTTGGATTATTGTTTTGTTATGCCTTTTTGATATGGTCGTGGTAATAGGGGTTTTTTTGTTGTTGTAGTTGTTTGTTTTTTTAAATAACTTTAGTTGTTGATATCCACAAATTGTAGAGCTGCCTTTTCTATTAATATATATACATTTATTTTCAAAAGAAAAGGATTTTACTGTCTATACTATCTGTAGCTGTCTTGTTAAACTTATTCATTATGGGTATTTTTTTTATGCCCTTAGATGTTTTACAGCAAAGTATTTCATGATAGGCATTTACTGTAGCTTATTTAGCCAATGCCATGTTGTTTGACCTTTGGAGAATTACAGTAGGTAACTGTTTTGATTGCTGTGTATTATCCCATGTAATCCTCACAGTTACTGCATGGTGTAGGTATTGTTATTACCTTTTTACCGGTATGGAAACTGAACCTAGAGATGTAAAATAATTTGCCCAGATTTTCAGCTAATTGTAACAATGATGAAGATATTCATAATAGCATTCAGTTGTTACTTGCCAGACACAATGCTATATTGTTTTCATACGTGGTTTTATTTAATCCTCAAAAGAATCCTAAGTGAGGCAGACCCTATTAATCCCATTTTACAAGCGAAACTGAGGCTCAGTGTGATTAGTCATACATCCAGCAAGTGGCACCTATTTGTGACTCTTTTGGAATTACACAACTGACTGTTTTTGACTTGTCCTCAACCTCTGCTTATTTCTGAGGAAATAAAATAGGTAAAACTTTGAGCAGAAAAAGACACTTCCAGCAGGTTACTCTCTCATCTCTAAAATATAGGTGGTTTTCTCCTCTCACTTTCTGTTAAGTGAGATGATATATATGAAGCATTTAGTACATGAGGTATGTAATAAGTGCTCAATAAATATTACTGCTATTATTATTTAATACTGATGATTTAGTTTTTATTCAGGTTGTAAAAGCAATAAATGCATATCATAGAAAATTTGGAAAAATATAAGTGAGCTGAGAATGTAATCACTCAGTCTCATTACTGATGACATCTTGGCATACTTCCTTCCATATAATTAGATATTTCCCAAAACTTAGGTCTGTCACTACAGATGATGGATGCTGGAATTTTTTGTTTATGGGAATGTGTCTTCTGATTGATTTCTTCAAGAAGAATAGAGGTGGTGGTCTTACGCACCAGCATAGTGCCTGGCTCACAGTAGGTACTCAATAAATACTTGAACTGAGCTTCTAGAACTTTGAAGTTTATTCAGTTCCTCGTCATTCATTACCATCTTTTGCATTAAAAACAACTATAGGGCTTCCCTGGTGGCACAGTGGTTGAGAGTCCGCCTGCCAATGCAGGGGACACGGGTTCGTGCCCCGGTCCGGGAAGGTCCCACATGCCGCAGAGTGGCTGGGCCCGTGAGACATGGCTGCTGAGCCTGCGCGTCCGGAGCCTGTGCTCCGCAGCGGGAGAGGCCACAGCAGTGAGAAGCCCGTGTACCGCAAAACAAAAATGAAAACAAAAAACAGTTATAAAATGATTTGAGTGTAAAAATAAAGACAGTAGATGTGCAGTCTGGCCTCAGGGAAGACTGAGCTATTCTAATATTGGGCAGAGGGTTTTGATACGGCAATTAAATGTGCAAAGAGCTGAGTGAGAGAATACTGGAAAAGCTGCATTCTAGAGATCAGGAAACATTTGTTGACTGCAGGCTTGAACCAGATGGTTCTCAAAAGTTTGCCATAAAAAAAAGTTTACCAGTAAACTGCACAGCCCTCTAGTCTCTGGGAAAGATTCCTTCACCATCAATTTGTAGTAGTAAGTGGGAGGTCACTTACGTCTTTTTAAGAAGGTAGTGTCTGGAAGAGCCATGACCCTTTAGAAGTATGACTTTTCTTTAAACCTGAAGTTCCATTCATTGGAAAAAATTAAACTCTCTGCTCTGCAAAGAAGACCTTAGAAGTGGGTGGTAGTACACATATTATTGAAAACTGACAACCCAATAGAGGCGGGATTCGTATTAGTAGTTTGTGAATACTGCTTTGGGATATTATGGCACATTGAAAGCCTTCCCTGTGCATATGAGAGCAACATTCAAGCAAACTACCAAAGGTTTGTTTGTTTGTTTTTTAATTGGAGTACAGTTGCTTTACAAAGCTGTCTTCATTTCTGCTGTACAGCAAAGTGAATCAGCTATACATATTCATATATCCCTTCGTTTTTGGATTTCCTTCCCATTTAGGTCACCACAGAGCACTGAGTAGAGTTCTCTGTGATATACAGTAGGTTATAAACTACCAAAGTTTTAAGTTAGCTTTTAAATTATTTTTGACTTAAATAAAAATAGAATGGCTGATTAATGGTCCCAATAAAAATGTCTGAAATTGTACTGGTGGTAATTTGAGAAGTATCTGTCAGAATCATTTTTAAAAGCATGTATAAGCATTAAAAGTGAAGTAGGTGTAAAAAGGAATTCATAGAATATTAGTCTCTCCCCCCTTTTACCTTTTAAAAAAGCTGTTTTAAATGGTTTATTATGTGCCCCTCTTTCAGTGAATGGATTAAGTATAATTTCAAGTTCAGGTCAGCATGTCTCAGTTGAAACAGGTTGTGACTTAGGGCTTTGGCTTTATAAAGGCCTCTTTGTTCATAGTGCACAATTATTCAGGTTATAGAGGCTTTCAGAGATGTGAGTGCTCTTCATGTGAAACAAGGGACTTTTTATAGATGGTGCTTAGCTCAGAACACCTGTGAATATAAGGTGCCCCGTGGCTGAGGTTAGTTAAGGATAGTTTTGATGTACACGCTGTTTGTGAGGTCTTCATTTCTGGATGAGTTGAAAATTAAAGGAGCAAGATGCAGTTTTAAATTTTAGTATAATATTAATAGTCATTTTCAGTAACTATTTCTGTGTCATTGCCAGCTGTTGGATTTCTGACCCTTTTTGATAAATATCCCAGCAGTGACAGCTTAAAATAATCAGAGTACTTTCACTTAATACTGTGTATGAGAAAATATTGATAGTATTTTACTTTATAAAAGTTAATCATAGTTCATTTTAGGGAATTCTGGAGATCCTTTTAAATGTTTGATTTTATTTATGTAGAATTTAAACATGTAAATTCCATTAAAAATTCTAATTGTTTTGCCCCTTTTCTAGTGAGATTTGTTTCCTGCTTTTCTCATGAAAACATTTTTTGTTACATTTCTGTGCACCTTAAGAAAATACCCTTCCATTCCATCACTTCATATCTGACTGAAAATATTGGCAGATTTCTTTTAGTGTTTTGTTAAAGTATTTTAAAATGCACATTTTAAGGATTCTCCCCCTAAATGCTGTTGGTAGAAAGATTACCAGTAATTGTTAATTTAAATGATTCCTCTTCCCCAAAGGGGTCAAAGAACCAAAGTGTGACACAGTCGGCTTTTCTTTTTGTAAAGTCTGTCTTCTGGGTGTTTTTCTACTTACAAAAGTAGTAATTCTTTTCCTAGAAAAAGCATTAGAATATAAAATTCTAATTTGATTCTTAAACTATTTGCATAATAATTATAACTGTGTTTACCAGCACTGTAAATGCTTATTTTTGCTAGGCTAAAAATGAGGGCGAGAGCATTATTTGAATAAGTAAAGCATAAGGTAAGTGCTATGCGAGTATATGTTACGGTTAAGGGTAGATTCTAAGGGAGCAGCCTTGATTAGAGAGTTAAAGATGCTTTTAGAATGCTTTTAACATTTCATTGTAGTAAATGGCCTTAGTTTAAGCCTTCCGAAGCTCCTCATGGTCTGTAAAAAATATATAAAAATGTTAGCATAACTTGTGTTACCAAACCAGGTCCATTTACCCAGTGCACAGCAAGCCAAACACTGGGACACCGGGGTTTGCAAAAGGGAATGGGTTTGTTCCTGAGGCAGCCGAATGAGGAGATGGGAGAACAAATCTTGTATTCTGCCTCACCAGAGGTGAGGGGCTTGGGATATTTATGGGATAAAGAAGCAAGGTGGTCTGAGGTGTGGGAAACGATGATGAAGTGAGGTCATTGGTATTCTGTGTAGGCATATCTGAGTTACATGCTTCTTCATGGAATGCATGTTCAGAAAATGGCGTTAGCATGATTTGGGGGGGGTGAAGATTTTTGCCCTCTGATGTCAAAAGGTCGTCCATGAGATACTCGAGACGGCCCAGTTGAGTGGTCAGTGGTCTTGAGTCAAGGTTTGACCTGGGCAAGAGTAGCTCCATGTTCCTGGAAAACAGTTACCATTACTATAATGCCCCATATATCAGAGGTGTTTTATATAGGGGATGGTTAAAGGAGTCTTGTGATATGTTGTTCAGGTTACATGAAACTTGGAGGGTATGCAATTTGCAAGAACAATTAAAGTGAGCTTAATCAGTAAAGGCAGGTTACAGGATGTTATTTATCAAGCAAGTTATAGTTTAAGGGATCTAACTGATGACTGCCCTCAGTTTCACTTGTATCATTTTTATACAATGGAATGAATTTCTCTACTCTAAAACAGGTTAATGTACATGGAAATATAGTAATTCCTTTAGAACATGGTTTCTCAGTGGTGGGCACTGTTAACATTTGGGGCTGGATAATTCTTTGTCATGGGAATTGCCCTGCATGTTGTAGGATGTTTAGTAGTACCCCTAGTCACTCCTCACTCCCACCTCAGTTGTGATGACCCAACAGTGTCTCCAGACATTGCCAGATTTCCCCAGGGGACAAAATTACCCCTGGTGGACAACACTGCCTTAGAAGAAAAAAGCATGTGGATTTCAAGACTCTTAATTGTAGTTTATAGTATGTATGTATATTGTTTTTGAAGGGTGGCTTTTAAGTAGAAACAAAATAAATGTTTCAAGTTTTTCGAATTTAACTTGGTATAGTTTAAGGAAACTGTTCGAGGACACTATTCTTGTAAAACATTGATAAGTTAAAGAAATTGCATTTTTTTCACTGTTTTTGTGTATTTTACATTGAATAATAGATTTTATTTGGTGTTTCCTCCAGATTGAAATTAAAATGAAAAAGCCAGAGGCTGTGAGATGGGAAAAGCTAGAGGGGCAAGGAGATGTGCCTAACCCCAGACAGTTCATAACAGGTTTGTTTTCTGGCCTTGATGAGCTTTAAATTCATATTGTGTTATATAGTTGAAATTAAGTAGTAATGAGTATTCTTTCTACTTTCATTATTTATGTTCCCAAGGTAAGATACATTGAATATAAGGAGGTTGCTCTGTAATGAAAACAGAGTATTTCTTATGATGGTTCTAACTTCTTAAACTCCATAAGAATACAGGTAAATGGCAGCAAAAGCCCAGAGGGAATTGGGATTTATTGTTTATCATGTCAGTTTGTGACGTCAGTTGGGGGTTGTTTGCTTTTGTGTGTTGGCCTTTCCTATTTTTTCTTTCTATGTTTTACGTGAATTAGTAGTTTACTCTGCTGATGTATTTCCTCCTCTTCTCTTCTCCCCTCTTATTTATTCCTTTCTGTTTCTCCTAATTATGTCAACTCTAATTTCCTGGAATTTCAGGGCTTCACAGTGAAAAGTATCTAGCCCATTTCTCTCTCTCTCTGTCTATGTCTGTATGTCTGTGTCTCTCTGTCTGTCTCTCTCTCTCTGTCTCTCTCTCATGTTTTGGCTGTGCTGGGTCTTCATTGTGGTGTGCGGTCTTCTCTAGTTGTGTGGTTCAGTAGTTTTAGCACACAGACTTAGTTGTGCCATGTGGGATCTTGGTTCCCCGACCAGGGATCAAACAGGCCCCCAGCATTGGGAGCGCCGAATCTTAATTGCTGGACCACCAGAGAAGTTCCCCATTTCAGTATATTTCTCTCTCTCTTTTTTTTTTAATAAATTTATTTATTTATTTTTGGCTGCGTTGGGTCTTCATTGCTACACGCAGACTTTCTCCAGTTTTGGCGAGCAGGGGCACTCTTCATTGTGGTGCACGGGCTTCTCGTTGCGGGGGCCTCTCTTGTTGTGGAGCACAGGCTTCAGTAGTTGTGGCTCATGGGCTCTAGAGCGCAGGCTCAGTAGTTGTGGCTCACGGGCTTAGTTGCTCCGCAGCATTTGGGATCTTCCCAGACTGGAGATCGAACCTGTGTCCCCTGCATTGGCAGGCAGATTCTTAACCATTGCACCACAGGGGAAGTCCCTCAGTATATTTCTAAGAGGTGGAGGCAAACAGCTAATGAAGGCCTAAGGCAGGCTTAGGGGTAGAATAGAAAACTAAGGTTGATTGCTTAACCCTTTAAGGGACAGACTATGTTGTGGTCAATTCTGAGCATAGGCAATAGGCACATAGGTATTTTTCTAATGGAATGATTAATCTGTAGGACACACTTAGAACTACAGTCTAAGACTGTTTTATAGCAATGGCCTCATTAATGAATGGAGAGAAATTTCCTTTGATTAGAGATAATGTTCTGATTTGATGACTGAAAAGAGGCAACTCTAAGTTTCAGCTACTTTTAGATTTTTCACTGCTCTCTTCTATAACAGAAAATACAATTTCCTTGTGGCACTTTGTAGAAAACACTAAGTTAGCCAACAAATCATTTTTAAATTTTATTTTGAAATGATTTTAGATCCTAATAGAAGTTGCAGAAGTAATAGAGTTCCCATGTACCCTTCACCCAGTTTCCCTGCATGATAATATCATAACTAACCTATAGCATGATTAACAAAGCCAGGGAATTGACACCAATAGATAATTTTTAAGAATTGAAATACTTCAAGTTGGTATATAAGCTATTTATTAAGCTTCTGCTTCCCACTTTATGTGAAAGGTATAGTAAAGATGTTATGCACTCTTCTTGGGGCTGACTCCCAGATACTTTTGGATTGAGGTTTATATATAGCTTAAAGCATTTTTTAAAAGAAATGTCAACACTTTTAATATAGTATATCACCTAAGTCTAACAGCAGCCCTGATATTAGGTAGCCTGGTATTGTTCTTCCTATTTTACAGGCTCAGAAAGGTTAAGCAACTTGCCTAAGACTACCTAGCAGTTTTCATTGTCTGGGACTAAATCCAGCTCTTTAGAGTCTGGCTCTGGTTCTTCTACCCCATGTGTGATACTGCTTGTTGCTGCATTTTTAACAATGGGAAGTCTCTGCTGACATGAGTATCTTTGCAGTTATTTGATATCAATATTATAGTGAATAAGCAAGGAAGTTAGGTTACCTGTCTCTCAGTAGTTCATCTACCATCTCTACAGGTGTTAATGTTTTTCTGAGATTAAAGATTTTTTGGTGTTATAGTTACAAACTCTCTAAACTCAGTGCCTTGGAGATTCAAGATGCTATTCCTCCTGACCTGTTATATTTTTGTAAGGAGTTAATATGCTTGTCAGAGTTTTGACAAGTTGGAGACTGCAGATAAGGGCAAGTTGATTAACCTATCTGGGTCAGCTTTCTTATCTGTGAAATGGAGATTAGAACTGTGCTCCCATCTGGCGAATCAGCATTAGGATTAATTAAACCCATGTTTCCTAGGTTCTTAATTTACCATGGCACGCATGTTTTTGTTTTCCTGGCTAGTAGTGAAAATGTACAGAAGATAGAGGAGATTACTTGTAGAGGAAGGATAAATAAAATTTGGAAAACAGTATGCTTGCCCTGAATAAAACTGTGGTGTGCTGTGGCTTTGTTTTGTTGTGGGGTGGGGGTGAGATGAGCAGGGAGGGAGTTGGTTTACAGGTGAAAAGAAAGGATGGAAAGGCAGAATGAACAATTAGTTTCTCAACTATTTTGAGAAAGGGCATATATAGAGCTCTAGGCAGCAGTGCAAGAGGGACGTTTAGACTGGCATTCATGTGTCCTAATATACTCATAGGGAAATTTTGAATCAGGTTTTTTTTAAAGCTCTATAGCTGTACTGTCCAGGGTAGTAGCTGCAAGCCACCTGTACCTGTTGACTACTTGGAATATGACTAGTCTGGATTGAGATGTGCTCTAAATGTAAAATACCTACCAGATTTTGAAGACTTAGTATGAAAAAAAGAATATAAAATATCTTAATATTTTTATATTGATTTCATGTTGACCTGATATTATTTTGCATGTATTAGGCTAAATAAAACATATTATTAGGATACATTTCACCTGATTCTTTTTAGTAATGTGGCTACTAGAAATTTTTAAATTATGTATGTGAGTTGCATTTGTGGCTTACATTATATTTCCATTGAATAGTGGACAGAACTGCTCTTACAGCTCTTAGGTAACCTGTTTAGTTACTTTTTAATTATTTGTGTGCAAAGATCTTGATTCCCTTGGTCTTCAGGGCAGTGCCTGAGTCCCTGGGTTCATTTCCTCTCTGGCTGCAAGCAGCCTCTGTTTATCCCAGTGTGCCCTACAAATATCACTTTCTATGTGTGCATGATGTGGGCACAGAACTCTAGATCATCACATGTAGTATTTTTCAACATTCAGGAATTCTTTATTGTTTTCTCCTGCT